AGTCTCACTGTGTAGTTCAGGCTGGCCTCATACTCAGGGTGATCCTCCTCCTTCAACCTCTTGAATGAAGGGATAACAAGCATGTGCCACCATGTCCATTTTAGTTTTTAAAAATTTTTTAAAATATATTTAGTACTAGGTTCATAAGGTCTCACTACACTGATCGGACTGGTAGTGACCCTCCTATTTTCAGCCTTCCAAGCGCTGGGATTGCAGGTGGGCACCACCATACCCAGTCTCAGTTGCTCAGCGCACCCTGGGGACGGGGCCAGCATGGCCCATGGGGATGAGCCCCGACGCTGTAGTCCACTGAGCTATCTGGCGGGCCCCAATCCATCTTAAATGTCCTTTAAATATTGTAGAATTCCAATTTCTCCATGTTTTTAGCAATATATACCCTACTTGATATTTTGTAACTATCATTTTAGAAGATTATACTGGATGGTATTGCCTTGTCTTCAATCCCTTCTTTGGTTTGTTTTTTGTATCAGAGATCAAACTCAGGTCCTTGCGCTTGCTAAGCAGGCACTTATGCCACTGAGGTATCTCCTTGGCCCTGGTTGGTTTTTTGGAGACAGGGTCTCACTATGTAGCTCAACCTTGTCTTAAGCTACATAAGATCCACTGTGCAGCCCAGACTTCCCTCCAGCTCACAATGATCCCTCTGACTTCACCTCCCAGTGCTTTGTTCATACAAGAAACACATAACATAAAGATTGCTGTCCTAATCTTTGTTTTTTCCTTGTGATTGGTGGTGGAACTTAGGACTGTGGGTTTCCCAGGGGAGCTGTCTGCCACTCAGCCACCCAGGCAGGCGCTGCCAGGCTCAGCTCCACGTCAATCATTTTTATTTATTTTTTAATTTATTTATTTTTTGGCAGAACCAGGGATTGAACTCAGGCCCTTGTGCTTGCCAGGGAAGCTCTTATTCTACTGAGCCATCTCCCTGGCCCCTTATTTTTATTTTATTGACAATGAAAGAAATAGCAATGAGACAGATTAGTAGGATAGTTTCAACACAGGTTAGTAGGATAGTTACAATAATTAATACATTGCATATTGTCTTCATAGTACTTATTCAGAGTACAAGAGGAACATGATATCTTGTCTAAACACTATTAGTATAAATCTTTCTTCTCATTGAACAAGAGAAAGTAGCTGCATAACTATCCAATTTTGTATATACAGATTTTTTTTTCACTACAAAATGGACCTTCACTTACATCCCCCATTTTTGTTTAGTTTTGCCAGAGATGGGTGTTCCATTGCCATTCAAATATTGTAGATATGTGCGTTCAGCAAAATAACCCAATATAGTGCAGTAGTCCATAACAGTAGTGGGGGGTAACCATTTTTAAATGCAGGGCTGAAGGGTATGAAGCAGACTGAGAACTTTTTTCTCTCCCCTTACATCACAACTCTGCTCCCTTGATAATAACCACTCTGCTTTCTGTTCTATTAATTTGATAGTGTTAGTGCCCTTAAGTGAGTGTGTTCATGCAGTCTCTGTCCTCTTGTGCTTGTCTTCAGGCTGTGCCGGTGGTGGGATTGAGAGTAGCTCACGTCCCATGGTGTGCGTGGACTGCATTTTGTCTGCTCATTTTTTTAGCCGCCACTTGGATCACTCTACAAACACAGGTGTGCAAAGACCCCTCAGGCACCTCCTGTCACTTCTGGGTATATACCGAGAGGTGGGATTGCTTCATTTTATTGAAGCTCAAATAGTAAAAGTTTTCAGAAAAGGTGAAATTTAAGCATTTAACTTTTGAGACAGGATCTCTATGTAGTGCAGACAGGCCTTGAACTCACTATGGAGTCCAGCCTGGCTTCAGATTTTCAGTGATCTTGCTGCTTTAGGCTCCTAAATGGTGGGATTACAAGTGTGCACCATCAGATGCACAGGATCTTGCTGAGTCACTAAATTTTCCAAGCTAGGCTCAGACTTGCAATCCTCCTTTTTCTGCTTCCTTGAGCTCAAGGATTACAGGTGTCATTATGCCTGGCTTGGAGGGACTTTTAAACATGGTTAGGTGATTCCATGTAGACTAATGAACAGTAAGACCAGTAAGCAGTATTTTATTTATTTTTTTATTTTTTTTTAAATT